CTAGAGGGAGGGGCAGCCACTGGCTCTGGTTACCCAGTGGGGAAAGCCACTCCAATGGCTGGTGCCTGAGCTGGGTGACTTTTCCCTGGATGGAGCTGAGTCTGGCAGGTCACTTCGCCATTAAGTTCTTGTGACCTGCTAAATGATTGAGTCGGTATCTTTTTTTGTTGTTTGTTTTTTGCTGCTATGAAGCTTGAACTAGGTAGGTGCCCCTGAGCTTCTTTCCCCCAAGGTAAGCACTCTGAGCTATAGCACTACTTCCTTTCTTCATACTACTTTATTGGAGATAAGCATCTCACATGCATTCCTGCCAGAGCTGGCTTTAAACTGTGATCCTCACATCCCATCCTCCTGAGTAGCTGGGGTTTCAGGCCTGTCCCACCAGTAACTGGGTTTCTTCAGTCACTTTTGATGAGTACTGTTTTTAGAAATTGATCCCTTTTCATCTAGTTTACATAATTTGTATGTAATTGTTAGAATTCATTCTCTCTCTCTCTGAATATTTATTTCTCTCTTTCTCATTCTCTTTATGTAGATACAAGCATTTGAATTCAGGGCTTTGTGCTTGCTAAAATCGCTTACTCTCCTTGTGCTCTACCACTTGAGCCTTGGCTACAGTGAGGATTTTTGGTTTGTTTTAATATTTGTGACAGTCCTGGAGTTTGAACTCAGGGCTGGATGCCGTTCCAATCTTTTGTGCTCAAGGCTAGGTCTCTGCCATTTGATCTCAATCTTCACTTCCTATCTTTTTGGCAATAAATCAGACATCAGAATCTCACAGGGTTTTCTACTTGGGATGGCCTTAAACAACAATCTTAGGACCCGAGCCTCCTGAGTAGCTAAGAATACAGACATGAGCTGCCATTGCTCAGATTGGTGTTGATTTTGGCGATGGAGTCTCATGGACTTATACTTGTTCTGATTGTAACTTGTGATCTTCCTAATCTCAACCTTCTGAAGAGCTAGGATCATAGGCATGAGCCACCTTTCCTGACTCTGGTTTGCATTTCCACAGGTCAGGATTCATGTCTACACTACCATTTCTGGTTCAGTAATATGAATCTCCTGTTTTTTTTTTTTTGTTGTTTCACAAAGTAAAACATTTTTTTCCATTTCTTCTGTCTTTTCAAGCATCCAACATCATCATCCTGTCCATCCTCATTGATAGAAGGGTGTGCCGGAACTAAACCTTTTGTGTAATACTCTTTCTTTTATAGATAGATTTGTAAATCTTACCCAGCAAGACCTGAGAAAGGGTTGGGGGTTATGTTCTTTCATACTAATGGAGCAGATCTATTATAAAGAGCCTCCAGTCAACTTTGATTAAAATAACTTAGTTGGGCATAGTCCTAAGAGCCCAAAGCTGCTCTGTCACTGAGAAATCAACGATTTGATTTCATGTACATCAAACCAATGGGGAATGAAGTAAGGATGCTAGGTTGAATGGGTGCCATGTTGGCCATGGTGTGGAATGGGAATTTGTTTTAGCTGGGGCCATTTTGTGCACATGGAGTAAGAAGGTTCAGTCCCACCTTTCTGGTGATGGGCATGCCTGAATTCCTAGTGGCAGGGACAGTGACTTGAACAATAGATTCCTGGACCCATGAAGTCCTATTCCTTGAACTTAGGAGACTCTCAAGTTTCCATGACCCTCCCATTGTGCCTTCCCCTATTTAGGCCCTGATCAGACCAGGCACCATAACACTGTGACTCATGTGGTGTGCCTCCTGTGTCTCCTGGCTTTTTGCTCTCCTGCAGTTGCCATGATGTTCCATTTCAAGTCTCCATTGGGTAGATCTGGTTTGTTGGTATTGTTGTTTTCTGCTCTTTCTTTCCTCTCATGCTCTCCTGTTCAGTTTTCTGACAGTGTTAAGTATATTCGAGGTGTTGCAGGTCTTTGTGACAGGAGTCCACCTGCAGTCTCTGGCTCACCAATACTTACTTGACCTCTCAAAATGTGGCTTCTCTATTTATTGAGACTGAGATATATTACCACATGCTGATCAATGTAATGAGTGGAAATAACTAAGCATGAAATAAAGTTTAATATTTGTCAAAAACAAAGTGTTAGTAATTGTTTTTTCAATATGGGTACCTGAAAACAATAACTTCATATATATTTAGATCCAGCATCCTGAGGTTAAGAATGGTATAGAAATATCTGTCACATGAAATAGAGGTATTTCAGAGATCTGAGGACATCCACCATGGTTGCATGGATCAGGACACACAGTGGCAGGTCAAGTAGTAAACCTGTGTCACTGCTGGTTCCTAAGAGTAACATGGGACCAGCCAGAATTCCATTTTTGTCCTAAAAGTGTGACAGACTCTATATGAGGCCTAAACTCATGCACAATATCATAAGGTTTACTTAGAGATGATTCAGTTGATATTCAACCAAGACATGATGTGCATTTGACAATATTTTCACAAGTTTTCATATTATCAAATTACTAGAAATGGTTCCTACAATTCATATGATTTTACTATGTTGATGCAAATGTAGGTATAAAACTCTGTATGTGTTTCTGCAAGAGAGACACAGAGAGAGAGAGAGAGAGACAGACAGACAGACAGACAGACACATACTGAGAGAGAGAGACAGAGAGGATAAGAATCTTTGGGACTTTTTTGCCTGGGCTGGCTTTGTACCATTATCCTCATATCTCAGCCTCCTGAGTAGCCAAGATTACAGGCATTATGTGCCAGCACCCAGCTTTTTGTTTTAACCTTAATGATTTGCTAAGGAAAGAAATTACATAGTGGAGATAAAAGAAAAATACACTTTGCCAGGTGCTGGTGGCTCACGACTATAATCCTAGCTACTCAGGAGGCTGAGATCTGATGATTGAGGTTCAAAGCCAGTCTGAGCAGGAAACTTCGTGAGACTTTTATCTCCAATAAACTAGTAGAAAACCGGGAGTGGCATTGTGGCACAAGTGGTAGAATCCTCGCCTTGAGCTTAAGAGCTGAGGGATAGGGCCCAAGCCCAGAGTTCAAGCCACATGATTGACAAAAAAAAATACATTTCAAATTCACCAAAACCATTTGCTCAGTTTCACACTCTAATATAATGGTATTCCTTTCCCTCTATTCACTTCTAATGAGATCGTCTTCAAAAGTTCCCCCCAATTCCCTGGACTTCCCTAACCATGGGTCACATCTGTTGGAAATGGTCATGGAAGTTCAGTGCTGCTCATCAGTATCCAAAATTCATCAGTGTTTGTCACAGGAAAGCTCTGTTCCCCATGCACACGGTGTCACCGCACTTGCTGGTGACACGATGAACATGCCCACTAGGAGATGAGATCACACAGTCCTGAGCCTTTATCTTGGGGATCCATGGCTGAGCACACATGCTGTGACCACTGCCTCTGTTTCTCTGTCTTGACAGCCAATTCCTACTGGGTAAGCAGCTATTCTTCTCAGGCAAGTGACAGTAGTCAATGAAACTCATCAAGAAAATGCAGAAGTAACTTCTCTGTAAAATGTGTGTTCTGTGTGCGGTCAGAATGAGGCACATTCTTGTATTTTAGGAGAAATGTTTTATGAGAGTCACAGGTCTGTCTCCTGCCTCAGTTAACAGTTTTGGTCCAGCTCCACATCCCTTCGCATCCTGGAGACCACACAGCTTTGTGTGTTCAGGGGTACACCATTCTCTGGTGAATGATTTAACACACTTCCATACATATTTTTTAATTTTTTCCAGTCCTGGAACTTGAACTCAGGGCCTAGGCACTATTCCTGAGCTCTTCTTTTGACCAAGGTTAGTGCTCTACCACTTCAGCCACAGTGCCACTTGTGGCCTTTTTACAGTAGTGTATTGTAGATAAGAGTCTCAGAGATATTTTCAGGCCAAGCTGGCCTCTAACTGCATTCTCAGCCCTCAGCCTCCAAGTGGCTAGGATTACAGGCAACTGCCTTCAGCACCTGGATTCTTTGGATTTCTAATTATTTGAAATTGCTAGAGTCAATTCAAATATACTTGTTTGCTGACACACTAATGAAGTGTTTCTTTTATATACTGAAGTTTGTGCACTACTTGTGTTTCCTTCTCAGTCTAACATTTGTCTCTGCTGCTAATTGATGATGGTGTAAATGCATTAAGACATTGTGCTTTTCACAACCAAGTGTTGCTTTACAAAATTTTAACTGTTTTCCTCTGCTTTATCATAAGAAATAATGTTGCTTGTTCGGCTCAGGACTCCAGCTATTCAGGAGGATGAATTTTGAGGATCCAGGTTCAAAGCCACCCCAGCAGAAAAGTCCATGAGGCTATTATTGCCAATTCATCACCAATAAATTGGCTGTGTTTTAATGTGGAAGAGAATTAGCTTTGAGCAAAACAAGCTCAGGAACAGCACTGAGGCCCTGCTACTGACAAAATAGGAAAAGATAAAAGAAAGAATGTTCCTTATAAAGAAAATGTTGGTTGATGTCTCGCCATTCTGTGAAGTATTTGTGTGTATCACTAAGCATGCTATTAATTAAAATAATATTTCCTGGTATTCTTTTTTCCCATTGGTTATGGGGCTTAAAATCAAGTCCTAGGCGTGAACCACAGAGCCTAATGGCAACATTTCTGCCTGGACTGGCTTCAAACTGTGATCCTCATGCATCTGGCTTGGCGAACATTTTCATATTTGTGTAGCTTTCATGTTATTTTTTGTGTCAAAATAAAATTTCTTATTTCCTAGATATGGAAGAGATGATGGAAAAACTTGCAGGTGGGGATTTCCTTCCTTTCTCAGACTACATTAAGGGTTCTGGAGAACCCCTGTCTCCTTTGTTTTTACAACTACACCTTCCTCACTAGACAGAAGGTGAGGCCCACAGACTTGGTCCTCAGCCATCTGGACTTTGGCAACAATTTGGTTGTTTTATCCACTGGGATCCCTCACATAAGAGCAGGTTTGGGATGGGTGTACTTCCGGGATGATGCCGGATGTAAAGTTGTTTTGTATTTCCGTAGAGTAGCCAGAGGGGCTTCTCTTAACACCACCTGCCTTCTGAGTGGCTTCCAGGTCTCAAAGCTTTGCACTAGAAATGCTTTGTGGAAGATCACTACTAGATTCCCCAAGTGCTTTTGATTCTATGGTTCCCTTTTCTGGATCCTGCATCTCCTGGTAAATGTTTCTGTGCCTCTGAGAGTGATTGGCCCATGACAAACAAAATCTCACTGTGTGCATGTTTTATAGACACTGTGCCACAGCAGAAGCCCCCCCAAAACCTTCTTCCATTCTCTTGCATTTATTTTATGCACTTGGTTTTCATGAGGTGGGCCAGTGGCTCCATGGTCCTTGTCCTGCACAGACACAAGCAGAGGGTCAGGCATATTCACAGCTGCATTCTCTCCTGAAGACCTGACCACGCGACTAGGGCCACACGTACCATCCTGATCCTGGTGAGCATGTTCCACTCCTTCTACTGCCTCTCCATCATTTTAAGTCTTTTCACCAGACCTGTGGCTGGTGGTCACGTTTGTGTTCCTGGGTGTATGTTTCTCAGTCCTGAGCCCCTTGTGCACATCAGCAGTGACAATCGTGTTAGTCAGGTATTTCATTCCTGCACTGAATAAAAGATTTTCATGATTCACTTAAACTAAGCCATTACATTCCATTTCCAGTTAGTTCCTAATATTGTTTTTGCAGTAGTGGTATTTACACACTACACCCTGCACTGTTAGGGTCTGGGCTCTCCTACAAGAGACCTACTCTCATCCTTTTTCACTCTGGTTATTTATTTGTTTATTCTTGGATATTAGGCCTGAATGCTGGAACTGGGCACTGTCCCTCAGGTCTTTAGCTCAAGACTAGTGATCTACCACTTCAGCCACAGCACCACTTCCCCCTTTTTCTATTAATGTGGTGTTTAATAATGCAACCCAAGACCTCATGCATGCCAGGCAAGCACTCTACCACTGACCCACCATCCCAGCTCACTCTGGTTATCTTTTTGAACTTTAGCATTGCTTTGTAACAAGGTCAGCTTGCATCTACATACTCATATGAGTTTCCAGTAGTACCTGGAATGAGAGATGTGAATGTAGATGCTAAGGTCTTGTTATTTAGATAGTGTGTTAGGGAATTGTTTTTACGCAGGCTGACCTATCACTGCAAACATCCCAATCTCAGCCTTACACATGGCTGGGATGTCTGGTGTACACTACCACACCCAGCTACTTTTGGAGGGGGAATCTTGTGAACTGTTTTTCTAGGCTGGCCTTGGATCTGAATCCTCCTGATTCAACCTTGCATGTGTGAGCCACTGCATTCCCTTAAATAAAAGTTATAGAAAATTTCAATGTAGTTAATGAGGCCTAATGATCTTTTACTGTTAGTTCACTAAACAAATATTGCATAAAGTACAATTGCTAATTTGCAGTGACTGAGATACCAGAAGATGAATGTTTTCACCATATTATGTAGGAATTGTACTTGATTTTTCTTCATGACCTCATGAATTGTGCTACATGTAATGAATAGAAGTGTTAAACTTGGAAATAAAGTCCAATATTTAGCACTAAACTAAGTGTTATTACTTGTTGATTTTTCACATTGGTACCTGAAAACATATTACCTTCAAACACATTTAGATCCAACAATATCAGGAAAAGAAGTGTCATGTAGAAAGGTCTCTCTAGTTGATCACAAGTATGTCAGAGATCTAAAGATATCCTCCATGTTTGACCTGCACCAGGAGACATGAAGTCAGGTCAAGCAGTAAACATGTGTCACTGCTGGTTCTTAAATATATCCAGGGACATGCCCAGAATTCCGTCCTTGTCCTAAAAGTATGACAGACACAGTGTGAGGCCTAACCTCATGCACAACATCAACAGTCAGCCTAAAGATGGTTTAGTCAATGTTTAAGTGAAATGTGCATTGTTTTTGACAAAGTTTCACAAGTTTTAGTTTTATTAAATTACTATAATCTGTTACTAGAATATATATAATTTTATTGTGGTGATTCAAATATAGATAAACAACTCATCAAGAAAATGCAGAAGTAACTTCTCTGTAAAATGTGTGTGCTGTGTGGGGTTAGAATGAACTTTAGGAAAAATGTTTGGTGAGAGTCACAGGCCTCTCTCCTGCCTCAGTTAATAGTCTTGTTGCAGCTCCACATCCCTTTGTATCCTGGAGACCACACAGTTTTGTGTGCTCAGGGGTACAGCATTCTCCGCTGAAATGATCTAATAGCCCTTTACTTTGTTGTATGAGTAATGTCTCAATGTAATTTCTCCCTACACTTAAAGCAATAGTATATTATCTGATGATAAACATTGGAAGAGATTTTGCAAAAGAATAAATTGTGACCTGACAAATTATGTTATGAATGTATGAAGCTAGTTGACTTTAATTAAATATACTTTGGCTTGTCATTCACATTCCAGCCAGTCTCCTCAATGTGTTCTCTTTTCCTCTGTCTTCTCTTCTATTGCCCTGCAACTTATTTAGGAATATTTTATTTTGTCAGCTGTGGGACTCGACCTCATTGCCTGGGTGCTGTCCTTAAGCTTTTCACTCAGGGATAGTCTTCCATCATTTGCTACACAGCATTGCTTCTAGTTTTTCATGGTGGTTATTTGGAGATAAGTGTCTTGATTTTCCTTCCTGAGCTGGTTCCACACCTCAATCGTGACATCTTAGCCTCCAGAGTTGTTAAGAGAACAGCCATGGGCCTCCAACGTATAGATTAGGTTCTTTATTGGATGAAAATTTTTGACCTGATATTCTATTTGATGGGTAAATTTATCTATGTATGTGAGCAGAAACCACTTCATCCCATCATTTCTGCATCTTTGAGAACTGTTTATGATCACAGAGATGGAGAGTGCTCTTCTCCCTGAGTCACTGAAGAGCCCAGGATATTCAGAAACCAAAGCCATGTGGGATGTGCAGTATAAGGGCTTGAACTCAGGGCCTCAGAGTCTTGCTTAGTTTTTCACTCAAGGCTGCTGTTCTGTTACTTGAGACACACTTCTACTTCTGCCTTTTGTGGGTTAATTGTGGATAAAATGTCTTGTGGATTTGTGTGCTGATGCTGGCTTCAATCTGTAATCCTCAGCGCTCAGCCTCCTGCCTTCTTTGTTTTTTTTTTGAAATTGCTAAAGTAAATTCAGACTATACTTCTTTGCTACTAAACTACCAAATAGAAGTTTGTGCAATTTCTGTGTATCCTTCATATAGAGTATGTCTTTGTTGTTATTTGTGATATGGATACATTAAGACATAATCCTTTCTTTCCATCTTTCTTATAATTAAGTGTTGTTTTATGGAGTTTTAACTGTTTTTCTCTTGTTGTGGGGAGGACCACCAGGAGAGACTACGCAGTCATAGAGTTCAGTCAATAGAAAGTCTTTGTTTTCCAGCCAGTGACCCCACTAGGACTTTTTGTTCCCCCAGTGCAGTCCCAAGTCTGATCTGAGGGTCCCTTTTAAAGCAGCAAACCAGGCCTGGGGGCAATGGATCACACCTGTAATCCTAGCTCCTCTGGAGGCTGCAGTCTGAGTTTGTGGTTCAAACCAGCCCAGGCAGAAAAGTCCATGAGACACTCATCTCCAGTGAACCATTAGAAAAGTTGAAGTGTCACTGTGGCTCTAGTGGTAGGCACTGGCCTTAGGCTGAGAAGCTGAGGTACAGCCCCCCTGCCCAGAGTGGACAACACATGATGGACAAAAAAAAAGCAGAAAAACCACCTCCTTGTTCAGTCCTTGGTGGAGAGTCTCTCATGTTTCTTTCTGGCAGGTGCAAGCTAAGCATGACATTACAGACACTAGTTAGTGCTGTAAGCAAGCATCCAGTAAGGACAACATGACCTGTTTCTATGACTATCTCTATGATTGTTACCTAGAGACCGTGAAGGAAACAGTGAACAAGGGATAGCTATACCTTTTAGGTCAAACCATAAGAAACTAGGTAAGAGTGCTCTCCTTTCTTTAAGATAGAGTCACAATGGAAAATGGAGTTAAAGAAGATCAGAGTAAAGTCTAAGATGGTGGGGTTTAACAATCTCTACTACAATCTAAGATAAACTGCTACTTTTTTCTTTTTTGCTAGTCCTGGAGCTTGAATTTAGGGCCTGGGCACTGTCCTTGAGCCTTTCTGTGCTCAAGGCTAGCACTCTACCACTTGAGGCATAGAACCACTTTTGGCTTTTTCTGTTTATGGGGTAGTAGGTAATAGAACACAGGCCTTCATGCATGCTAGACAAACACTCTACCCCCAAGCCACATTCAAAGCCCAAGATAATCTCCTTTGTTATAAGAAAAAATTTTCCTTGTCAGTCTCACGTCTCTAATCCTGGCTCTTCAGTAAGCTGAGAACTGGGAATCCTGCTTGGAAGCCAGCCTAGGCAGGAAAATACCTGAGGCTCTTCTCTCCAATTCATCCTCAGAAAACTAGGAACTGTGACTCAAAGTGGAAAAGCACTAACCTTGAGTAAACAAGAGCCCAACAACTGACAAAACAAGAGCTCCACACCTGACAAAAAAGAAAAACAAAAAGAAAAAAGTAGTGTTCCTTATAGACAAGATGTGGGTTGATGACTCACCATTCTATCAATTATTTGTGTGTATCACTAAGCATGCTCTTAAATAATATTTCATGGAATTCTTTTGTGGTTACAGTTGTTGGTGCTGGGGCTTGAACTAAGGGTTTGTAGACTATGCATGCGCTTTATGCTCAAAGCGCATGCTCTACCACTGCAATATGCTTCAATTTCTGGCTTTTTGGTAGCTTAATGTGTGTTACAGGAACTCAGTCATGAGAAACAGAGAAGACACATTCTGAGAGGTTGAGTTGGGAGTCTTATTGGAGAGCCAACCAATGCCGGTGAACTTGTGTCACAAACACCTGCAGCCCCTCAAATACACTTAACACCTTCAGAAAAGAGGCATGCAAGAGGATACAGAGTTGACAAACAACATCAACAAACAAGAGCAGCTCCAATGAAGAGCTGAATTGGGAAAACATGATGACCGGAGGCAAGGGAGGCATGGTGTAATGGAGCCTGAGCTGGTCCAGGCCTAGAGAGGGTTAGGGTCATGGGCCAGTGTCATTGGGAGATCAAGAGTCAAGTTCAAGACACAGGAATGACAGGTCCAGTATCTATTTTCCAGGTCCTTGCCACTGCCTCTAGGAATTCAGGCACCCATTATCTGTGGTGGGAATTCACCTTCTCCCATCACAAAGACAAGATGGTGCCAGCAGCCACTTAACAAAAGGTTGACTCAGTTTCTTAATTTGGTGGGTATGAGACGCTCACAGACCTCCTGCCTGGGCTGGGTATGAGCTATGATCCTCAGATCTCAGCTTCGTGCATTGCTAAAATTACTGGTGCCTGGCTAGGATAGCTTTTTTTTATTGTCAAGGGTTTTGAACTGAGGCCTGGGTGCAATGTGAAACCTACTACTCTATCACTTTCAGCCAAAGCATTGCTTCTGATTTTGAGTGGTTAGTTAAGGGTCAGAGTGTCATGGGAATTTTCTGCCTGGGCTGGCTTCGTCCAACTACAATTCTCAGATCTAGAAACACGATGCTCATATCTCAGCCACCTGAGTAGCTAGGATTAAAG